TATTATTAATAATATTTGCATATATATATTTGTATTATATTAGATTTATTTCAGTTATTTTTATTTAAGTTTTCTTTCTTTTCAAATAGGTCATTTTTAATAAAAGGAAAACTGTAAAATATACACAAAACTGGAGATAAAAAACAATTTCCAAACTACATGCCTCTTTCTTTACTTTCACTGTTTTTCAAGATTAAAAAAAAAAAAAAACTCTTCAATTACAGATTGGAAGATTTCTTTGAAAACACATTTAACTGTTTTATGAAAGTTAGTATGAATCTAGATCACAGAGATGTACAGCTTTGGAAATAATGGAATAAAAGGGAACGCTCCAGCTCCATAGATGTGAAGAAGTTTGCAGTTAATTAGTTTGTAGATCTAAAAAAAAAAAAAAATCATTTGTGTGTCTTCTTGTATTTGACAATTGTGTGGCCCATTTTCTGGAAAATCAGCGCATTGTGGGGACCGATTACTCTTTGTTGGGCCCAATGCCCGGACACCATGAAGGGAATTGCTGTTTCAGGCTCAGGGGTCACGTTTGCGACTAAAGTTAGGTTGTGGTTAGGGTTAGATATGAACCTGTAAGGGTCTAGGGTAAGGGTAATGGTTTGGCTCTAGAAATGGGTTAGAATTTAATGGAAGTCAATGGAAAGGCCCTGCAAAGAAGTGGAACACAACTTTGTGTGTGGAATATAAATATGATATATTTTTTGGTCTTACTGATACTTGGGCAGTGGACGAGGTTCAGGACTAAGGTATGAATTGAGGTTACTGTAGGTGAGGTTTAGAGTTAGACGTTTGTTGATAATGATTAAAGTTGGACAATAGAAATGAGTGGGAAATGAATAGGAGTCAATGGTTTTCATGCTAGCAGTTAATTACTGTTTTATTTGCAGATGATATAAATATTTTCTGTACTGGTGAATGCTTACAGTAGTTATTTGAAGATATAATATCAGAGATGAATGGCCTAAACTGCTTTGACATAAAAAAAAAAAAACTTCCTTGAATTTGGGTTAACTGAATTCATGTTATGTATAGATTATATCATGCTTCAATACATTTTTATATGAGATGAAAGAAGGGTAATGAACATACATCAATGGGTAGGGGATATGGGTGTGTTTGTCAAACTTAACATATCTAAACATTGTAGTCCAAAAATCTATTTATAGCCCTGTGTTCAGACATGATTAATGTCACAACCAACACCAGTTATAACCAACACCAATTTCTCTTATTATTGGTCATTATACATGGTTAAACATCATTTTCCAAAGGTTGAGGTCATGTGTTCAATGGGTAATAATTGTATGTATGTATTAAAATATAAAAATACAAGTTTTGAGGCTCTAAATCCTGGGGTTGTGGAGAAGGGGCTTTATTGGAAGTTTGGAGTATTATGGACTCATAGGTTGAGTACGTATCAGGAAGAGGGTTGTGTTAAGCTAAATGAAAGGAGAATGATTAAATATGTTTCTTTTCTTCATACCTACCCTTTCATAAATAATGTTTTTTCAAATGTCCTTAATTTGTAATTTCACCTGAGATACACCGATAAGATGTTAATATCTGTATCGGTTCTGATATTGAATACGATTGATGAAAATTGGCTCGATCCATTAGGTCAGATCTATGCAGTCCATTTCTCTGCAGTGTGTTTGTGTGTGTGTGAAAGATGTCTCTCTCACACACAGACACACACACACACCAGTAATACACCCTATAGAGAGTTGTCTTAAAACTGGAGGGAATGAAGGCATCAGTCATCTGGAACTTCTTCACATAAATTGATTGGGTTTTAATGCCCCAGAGCAAGGTGCTGGAATCATATACTTCCTCCAAACTGGTTCTTGATTACTTTGGCCAACGTAATGAAAATGAAAACATCAAACAACAATAACAAAAAAAGTTCTAGAATTTGTAATGACTTTTTTAGGTTCTATAGTCTATAGTCATAACTTATATTAGAAAATTGTTTGTTTTAACTACAAGGATCCAATTTATACTTTTACTGTATTTTCGTGACTATAAGGCGCATATAAACGTCTTTTTTTTTCCTCAAAATGTGCGGCGCGCCCTATAGTGCGGTGCGCCCTATGTGTGTTGTTACTGCGGACGTTTGAGACCACTATGAGAACGTTAAAGGGGGAAGTGTGGGCGTGGATTGTGTATAAAAGAACAGGTATGTGCTTTATGCAGAACTCCTCATTGAGGAGATGATTAAAGAGTGGCTGAGGGAGGTGAATGTAAGGAGACCAGGTGGTTTTTTCCACGCATCACCATTGCTGTTAATCTGTGACTCCATGCGTGCCCATCTCACAGCCGATGTGAAAAACATGGTGAAACAAATGAACGCTGTGCTTGCTGTTATTGCGGGAGGTCTGACAAAGGAACTTCAACCGCTCGACATCGGTGTGAACCGGCCGTTCAAAGTAATGCTACTTTCACACCGGATGCAGCAAGAGCAGCAAAATCCGGCTGCTGCTTCCTTTTTGCTGCTTGTACCAGTTTGTTCTGACGTGCGGCTGAAGCAGCTTTGCCGCTCTGACTGCGCGGTGCAAAAATATTTCTGACTCGCGTTGGGTGGAGCTATCCTATCCTTTCTTTGCATGCAGCTATATTTGCTGTGATCAGTGGGAATAAGTAGTAGTTTTAATATGTTTTTAAGTGAGAAAGTCCACCTGAAAACTTAATCACTGCAGTCAGTTCATCCAGATTACTCTCCTGCCTTCCAACATTATTTCTGTCGGAACCACACAGAGCCCTGCATACCAGCGGTGCGCTGTCAGTAGGATCCCATTCAACAGCAGCCTTTGGCCGGGTCGCCTCCTCGCGGTTCACCGGGGCGGCTGGTAGGTGTTTTTCATCTAAAAAATCTAAACTGCAGGCAGCAGGATAATAAAAGCGAACATATTCTGCCGGCAGATTTCTGCATTTTAAGTTAATTTATGCGTCAATAAACTGTTTCAGAGGAGTGATCAGAGCGCTCTGTGTCATTATCGATGTGTCTGTCTCACGGCCAGCTCCCAGGTTTGATTAATACTTTGTAATAAATACATGAATAAAGCACAAACATACTAAGTTTTGCTCCCGCTCTATTTTTCTAAATACGCAGTAGAGCTATTTAAACGTAGTAGAGGATATTTACTGGTATATAAAACCCGCGCCCTATAGTCCTGTGTGCCTTATGTGTGTGTTAAATACAGTAATTGCACACATAACTGAGACTGCGCCTTTTAGTACGGTGCGCCTTATGGTCGTGAAAATACAGTAACTATTTCCGAAGATTTGTAATGTTAGATTCAATAAAATTATGCCATTATCTATCATTGCTATCAAATGTTAAGGATTAGAAAAGGCACACTGTGTTTATGCTAAACAATGCACACACTCTGTCTGCACTCATGAACATTTTCCCATGAATCTTCCAGATTTGTTGCCTGCAGAGCAATAGAGGCATTACTTAAATGCAGTTTGTTAAAGTCTGAACAGCTGAATGAAACCTTAATTTTTCTAATGACCACCTTTCCACCAGAAAATTGAGAAAACCATCATAGAGCTTACAGTACCACACTGTACCAACCTGTAGACTGAGTGCGCTGCTGATGTTCGCCTTTGGCAGTGAAACAGCCACAGTGGTATTGGCTGTCCTCTCCAACCACTTTGACAGCAGCTCTGGGGTCAGCAACTTGTCCAGCCTTGCCAGATTTTCCACATGAAAGGGGAGCAGGAGCACAAGGCTGGCTTTACCTCCCCACAGAGGTGCCTCCAGAACCTGCACCATGTTGTCGACATCTTCATGGAAGCGGTACAGACCTTCAGGTAAGGGCAAAGAAAGATCACAGTATTGAGGACAAGTCCATTTTACATTTTACTGCTTCGGTGCAGAAGCCCCCAGCAGACGTGTATTTTCTTTGCAGTGCAATGATTTGGAGCCACTTGAGCTCTTACTGTTCAACTCAGTTGAACTCAAACAGGAAGCAGGATGCTTGTATGAGCCATAAAGTAAAATAGTCTCTACCAAATTGAAAAAGACATTGTAAAAATAGCATTAAAATGAGCCCAATGCATCTTTCTGACATCCTTTACTGCGTTTAATGGCAAAAAATTTACTCTGCCCTGTTGTTGTTTGAAGACAATCCATAAAATATAAAGAGCCTGCTTAATAAATCATAAGGCGCACAGTGATAAATGGATGCGAAGAAGATTGGCCCTTACAGAAGCTGAAACCCCTTTAGTTGCAGTTATTTAGCATCAAAAACCAGCCGACTGCATGCATGTTTTTATTATTTTTTTTCCATACCTGCTCTGTGCATCATGATCACTTTAGTGTATTTTTTCCCCAAGAATGTGCGGCGATCAGTGCTCTCCTCGCTCATCTCTCTCTGCCACAGCCCTGAACACAGAGACATTTTAATAGGAAAAAAATGAAAAGTTTGCAAGACATCAGGCATTGAAAGTTGTGGGTGATTAAAGACACTAAAAAAGGATGTGACATACCTAAGAATACATGGGGGCCTTATAGAGTGACACAGAGCATGAATTATCGATTATTTACTACCAATTAAACAATGTAAACCCCTCGCAAAGCTGCTGAGTCTAAGAGGCTTGCAGAGGCTGTTAAAGACCCTAAAAGGCCACTGTGTACCGTTCATTGTCCGACATGTCCCACTTGGCCCCTCTAACCCCCACCCCTGACAGCTGTCAGTTTAAGAGGGGCTGAGAGCAGTGGAATTACTGTTGTAATAACCTCAAAACACTCTCTCAAAGCCGCTGGACCATCAGAGTGTGTGCATGTGTGTGTATATAGGTCCATGAAATGATGACCATTTGGGCCTTTGTGAATGACACTTTAGTCTGGCTTTGGCAACAACAGAATGATGACTCATTACTGATTAATCTTTTGGAAAAATCTCCACTCCCAGCACACAATACAACAGAAAAAAAGAGGTCCATAAAGAAAAGTGAGACTGTCTGAGAAGTTATGATTAAAGACTTTGATTAAAAGGAGTGTGCAGTTTCATGTTTTATTTGTACGGTTGATTAATAATCTGATTTAAAGGCAAAAAGTACCCAAGGTGACATGAACAGGTTGAAACACTTAAGAAGTTTAGAAATCCTTTTAACTCTTTAGTAAAAGAAAACAATAAAAATCTATGTTTAAACAATTAAAACATATCTGTTGTAACTTAAGTGGGTTGTGTTTTACCTTTTCAAAGAATAACATTTATTTGCACATAAGTTAGACCTGAACAAAGATACAGAGTAAAAGTTATGGTTCTTCCCATTTGTTGTGACTCTGAGTTTTCTGTTTTCAGTTGTTTTGTTTGTTGATTTATTTTCCATCATATTCAAGCATTCTTTAGTTACTCTCTGTTGCCCCCTTGTGATTGTTTTCTTTCCCTTGGATTCCTTCTTGCCAGTTCCGCCCACACCTGCTCCTTATTCAGCTCATTAGTCCATCCTTTGTTCTGTTCTCCTCAAATACTCCACCTCTGTAGGCGCTCAGTTCTGGTTCCTTCTGGTCGTTGTTGAAGTTGCCTTCTCAGCTCGTCTCTCCCTGGCTCTTCATGCTCGTTTTCCCCTGATGTCTCCACGTTTTTTTTTTTTTTTTTAACATTTTTAGTTGGATTTCTGCCTCTGTTACCTGTGTTCTTCAATTAAATCAGTCAGAACTCATCTCTGCTTCACTCATCTCTGCATCTGGATCTTCAAACAACCTCACCACCCATTGTTGACAAAAAGTTGAAAAGAAATTCTCAGAGTGATAATATATTCCCAAAACTGAACGACAATTGTATCTACAGTACTAGGGGTGTGGGAAATAATCTTTTTGGCGATATATCGTGATATTCGGCTGCCCAATATAATATCGATCTTTCACTTATTAGTATTGATTAAAAAAAAAATAGTTACATAAAACATTGATGGGAAAATGGGCTACTTCTGCACCACCACTCTGGCAGAAAGCGCTGTGGAGCCCTTAAACTGTACGTGCAGCACCAAATCTGTATTTGAGGCAGTCACAGTGGAAGAAAACTCCAAACAACATGGATAATAGTACCTAATCAATATTTTCTGATGGAAATATGCAGCACTTGCTGTTTTATCTCATCATTTGATTTTGATAGCTGGGGAAAATATGGCAATATATAGTGATACTGCAATATTGTGATAATATCGTATCGTGACCCAAGTATCGCCACATGTATCGAATCGCAACACTCATGCCAATACTCACCTCTATACGGTACCTAAGTGACCCATATGAATCTTAGAGGCAATAAGCTCAAACAAAGTCCTGTATTTTCTCCCTTCTGGGGCAAGAAAAGAGGTACAAAATTTAGGGGAAAAAAACAAATGTTGCTATAGACTTGAGATCATTTCCATTACCACAATACAAAAACACAGAGATATAATTATGTACAAAGTTACAGTCAAAAGGGTTGGCTCTAGATATATGTTAACTACAAGGCAAACACTTTGTCTGCTTTTATAACGAGACTTAAAACTTTCCTTCTGGATAGGGCTAATGGCGCAGGTTATCCTAAGCTAGCTCCAAGGTTAAGCTACTATAGGTTTAGGCTCCTAGAGGATTTAGAGACCATTTCTCTTCCATCTGCTAAATTCTACTTCTGCTCTCCAATCTTGCATTATTTATGAGTTCAACTTTATGTTTTCTCTGTTTTCTCTCGTCATACAGGCATCACCTGACCCGGCGCTCTGTTTAGCTGTGACATCACCCTGGAGGAGGGCATCAGCAGGGCTGCTGCCATAAACAACTTCAATTATAGATGAGATTTTTGCCTGTGCTACAGTTTTAAGGTTTGATATAGGGCTGCAGCTATTGGTTCTTTAAGTAATCAGTTAATATATCAATCATGTTCTCAATTAATCGGTTAATCTAAAAATTTATATTTTTGGAAAACATATATTTCTTATTAATCAAATGCTTTGAGTTCAGAGAAAAACTTAATAGGGCAATAAAATTCCGTAATGAATTTAATGAATTGTAAATGGAAAAAAATGCATACATCATACAATATATGTAGATACAGATTCAACGGTAGATAAAAAAGTAAAGGTTTCTCACTGTAAATAAAAAATTTAAATATTTTGCTGTCATTTTGTTTTAATCACTGCTGCAAGTAGGTTACTCTTTCAGCAAATACAGTAGCATGTTTTAGAGTCTTTGTACCATTACTCTAGGCAATTCTCTTCATTTGAAATTTCTGTTCACGATTCATTATTATGATGATTATTATTTTATTAATCGCAATTCATTCGAGTCATCGTCTAATCAATTTTCAGTAGTGATGGGTTGAAGTTTACCGGCTCCGATGACAAAAGGATTGAGCTTTCATATTAGCAGGAGGTATGCTTTGAGGAGTAAAGGTGATACCTTTAAAACTTATTTCCAATGTTCTTACTTTAAAGTACAATGTTTGTAACCAAATGGCCTTACCATGCACTAAGGCCACACTTACTGGTGGAGTAGGATTGCCTCAAACTGCCCTTAAAGATCCAGTGAATGGCATGCAAGAATGTTTTTCCTGAAGTCCTAACCTTGACTATTCAAAATGTGTGGGCTTTATTTAAAATTCAGATGGTTTTGATGGCTACAAAAACAAAATGTAGTCAAGGTGCAACTGAATTAGGAAGGTTAGACCAATTAGGGGTGTTATACAATCATATTTAAGCCTGCATGTAAACTGTTGACCTTAGTGGACTCTACTTGTGTTTCTGATCAAAAGATGTTTTTTTTTCTTTTTATTGTTTTTCCTAAAATACAACTGCTTTAATAAATAATTAAAAGCCGCAAATTATCGACATGCATTCATATGATGGTTTGATAAAAACAGATGGGAAATGTTGCCTTAACTTAAAACAGAAGTCCAGACTGAAATCAATGAGAGCCACCACATTTCTTCCTCCTTCCTCATCAACTTTGATGGCAACGCGGTTTCAGAAGGTATTATTTGAGGATAAATAAGAAGAAATTTGTTTTTCCCCCCATGTTGATGCATTACCATATGTCTCTCCTGTTCCCTTCCACGGTATTATTTTTTCTCCACTGTAACCATTGTTGTTCTCCAACAGAAAAAACCTAAATTAATTAGCCAGCATGTGGGGACTCCCAGGACACGTCTTTAAAAACCAATATTTCCCAACCAACCATATCTGTCAAACTCTCTTACTTTGTTGTTTTTTTTTATCGCCATCTACTTCACCCAATTTCTCTTTTTCTGCAACCCATCTGGACCTCGTTTTTTCTGTTATTTCTTTTGCTTTCTAGCTGTTTTCTTTGTTTTAAAGAACCACTGATCTGATTGTTTATCTGTTGATTGGAATGTTAAAAATGTAAATAATGAAAATAAGTGTTTACCCAGTAAACAAACGCAGCTAAACTGCAACAGTTATCACAAGAGCTATTGAATATGAGAGCAAAATTTTAGAGAGTTATAGCATAACAAAATGTTGGAAGATTTTCTGGAAAAAAAAAAGATTTAAATTAAGAGCAATCCTGAAAAAATTTAAATGAAACCATCTGTTTTAGGTTGGGGAATACTTCACAGAAGGACAGAGGTTCCCCTCACCATGAGACAATGACCGTTAACATGAAACCAGAGCTGCACTGTTTTATATTAGAGCACAATAATACCTAGGTGTTCACCTGGACAACAAACTTCACTGGAGTAGCAACTGTGAGGCTTTCTAGAAGAGAGGAAAGAGCAGACTGTACTTCCTAAAGAAGGTTGGGTCCTTCAGTGTTTGCAGCACGATGCTGCATATCTTCAAAGTCTGTTTTTGAGAGGATGATCTCATCCTCCATCATCTGCTGTGGTAACAGCGTCAGAGCAAATGACTAAAAAAAGCTCAACAAGCAAAGAAGGCCAGCTCTGTTCTAAAAACTACGCTAGAAAATCTGCACTTTAATTTACAAAGAAGAATTCTTCATAAAGAGGAGAAATCATGGACAACAGAGAGCATCGTCTTCAGAAGATAATAAAACAACAGAGTGTCTTCAGTAAAAGGCTTCTTCAGATCTGGTGCAAGACAGACAGCTACAGCTATCAAAACCTACAACTGATTAAAAAAAAAAAAAAAAAACTACTGTTACATTTAATTTCCCTTTGGGATTAATAAAATATTTTTTAATTGACTTGAATATTCATGTGTAATTATGGCCAATTAAGAGTTCAGATCAAAATTCATGTATGGAATGTAAGTGTTTGCTGCAGTTATTTGTAACCAGTAAAACATAAATCAAATCCACATCTCTGCAAAAAATACATAGGATAAAGTTCTATTTAAATATTTTCCTAAGCTTGATCACAAAATGCAAACATATTGACAGATAATAGACATACTGAAGATGTGACCTGCTCTGCAGAT